CCCCCCCCCCCCCCCCCCCTCCTGTCTTTGAATAGTCTTGATTAATGCTTGGGCTGGAGTAGGCCAATGGGTAAGGGCATTGTGTACTACGACTGAAATTTTAAAATTTTAAAATTTGCTGCACTTCCTGATGATTCAGCGTCTCGATGCTCGAGCCACTCTTCGCAGCAGGCTGGATCAGCCCTAAGGGTCTCGTTCAACACCACTTGAAATTCACAGTTTTTCAAGGAAGCATCATTCCACCCATCCCTAATTACGATGATTTTAAACTTTGAAACTCTGAAATGTTTCCACATTTTGCATCTCGAGGGCCCACCCTAACTTCTCAAGCGCGGCCGAACAAAAACGACGACAATCTCAAGGGCGCCTGAAATTATGGCTGGACCCTAAGAAATGCGTAAAACACAGTTTTTTTTTTTCCCCAGTGATTTTCCATGAACCACTGTTCTGGCACCCCGGCGGCAGCACTTGAGATTCAAGGGCGCACTTCTCAAGTTTTTTTTTTTTTTTTTTTAAGAAATGGGTGCTCACAGGACTCACCCCTACCTACCTCATCATCTTTCTGCTTCCTTAGCGCTTCCCCATCTACGAGGGCACTTGTTGGCCCTACCTCGGATATAACGGGCAGCGGTTGCAGACGCCAGCACTAGGCCAGGACAAACCTCTCCCAGCCCTAGTTGAAGCACTATAGGGCGAGCCTTGTCGCACAGGCACTCCGGTCACCAAGCATGATCATTCTATACACTTTGTTTTTTTCCTATGAGCACCAGCCCAGGTTGGTCAGATGGCGAATATTCCTTTTCCCTAGGCTGTGTCTAATGGTTCTACCTTGATCAAGGTCTTACCTGTCTGACCCAACCCAGGGACCATGTTCCTAGCATAACCTACTATTATTGCCATATTAGGGGTGTGTTTTGTTCATGCTGAGGGGCCAAGGTTATCAATGCCGTAACCCGCACCAGTTCGCCGCAGGGCCGATTTCTGCCAGGGAAGACCTCCGGCCCATCCCCCCTTGCACCCTCAGTCGGTTATTATTAGTCATCAGTTATGATCCCAGGCCAGTCCAGAATCGAATGTTCCACGGAGCCACCCTAGGCAATGTCTTACCTAAGCCAACTCTAGACCAGTCTGGGCCCCCATTGGGATTATGTCACGGTCCGTACAAGTGCCACTCCGGGCCACTCCGAAACCGAATGTTTCCACGGAGAACCATAGGCAGTGTCTTACCTGGGCCAACTCTAGACCAGCCTGTGTGCCACTCCAGGCTAGTCCGGAACCGAATGTTTCCTCAGAGCCACCCTAGGCACCGTCTTACCAATGCCAACTCTAGACCAGCCAGAGTACCTATCGGGATTATGTCATGGTTGGATTATATGGTCCAGGCTAGTCCGGAACGGAATGTTTGACCCACCGTAGGCAGTGGCAGTACCTAATGCAACTCTAGACTACAGTCTTCCCCCGAATACAACGCACGGTCATTATAGCTGAATTTAGACTGAGAGATGGACCAAATTCAGCGATAATGACCGTGCATTGTATTCGGGGGAAGACTGTAGCCTGTGTGCCACTCCAGGCTAGTCCAGAAACAAATGTTTCCCGGAACCAAATGTTTCCTCGGAGCCACCCCAGGCAGTGTCTTACCTAAGCGAACTCTCGACCAGCCTGTGTACCTGTCAGGGTTATATATTATGGTTGGATTAATTTTGTTATGTGCTTCCCAGTCTTCAATCCCCAATCTTACTGGACAAGAAGAGTATCCCCCCCAAAAGGTCGTCCACTCTTCTCCAACCCCTAAGTGGTTCCAGTAGTCACTCCTCACACCAGGGGCTCTCTGCTGCTCCACCCCAAACTCCCACTCTCCTCGAGACTGGTTACAGGCACAGGCACTATGCAAACATGGAAGTGTCCTAGCAGAGGTGGTGCCCAAGTGATTAATTTCCCCCAACTTGTTTTTTCGTTCCACAGTCCCCATAGCTCAGGTGGTCAGAGTATTGATATATCCTGGGAGGGGTTGTGGGATAGAGGTTCGGAAGAAGGGATTCTTGGGCACCACCTCTGCTAGGACACTTCCATGTTAGCAGAGTGCCTGTGCCCGCAACCAGTCTCGAGGCACTAAGATGGGATCGTGGGGATAGGTTCGGAAGGAGGGATCGTGGGGAGCAACACGGCTGGGAACCGGGCTCAGCGTCCCTTACCAGAATACAAAAACGAGCTGCCGGGGCCATTACCCGGCTTCGGCTAAGAATAATTGAAGAAAAGAGAAGAACTCGGAAACATTTATGGTCCACTACTTAAACTCTATCAAGTCACTAGAATATGTGTGTCAAAAGGCCTTCCAACCACGAATCAGATAGGCGAAACCTATTCAATCCACCTGCGACTACCGCCATTCTACCTGAAACTTATTCAATACCACCTACAACTACCACCAGCATGGCTGTTTTCAGCACGAACCAAAGCTCTTCCAGGCCTCATGCTCCCATTAGGCTAGGTTACAGAGTTGCACCACCTTGCTCCAGCACCGGCCAGCATTGCTCCAGTTACAACCCCCGATGACCACGGAGACTGCCCGCGCATACAGCCCCCCATATCTCTCTACCAGGCCTCACGCGCCCACTAAGCTAGGTCATTCAGTTGCGCCACCTGGCTCCGGCTTCGGCCAGCATTGCTCTAGCATCGGTCTAATTAATTAATTTTAATTTGCTGCATTTCTCAAAGATCGTGCACCCTTGTGCTCAATCCACTCTTAGCAGCGGGCTGGATCGGTCCTAAGTGAGGGCCATACAAAGATTTCTCCTGCCGGCACCATGCATTCAGCCGCAATCAAAATGTCACATGACAATGGCCATAGGCTCCTTGTTGCAGCCACAATTTCCTTCTTTCAAAAAAAAATATCGCCAGAGGTTCATCATGTCCGCCCTCAGTGTAAAGCAAAAGAGGTTCGGCAATTCAGATTCAGATGGTCACTTCAACCACAATCACATCACCTCAGTAAAATGTCAATGTGTTGTATGAAGTGCTGCACGTACCGGCTGCACTTCCGGCAAATGGGAAAATTAGGCTAAAAAATGAAGGGGCAGTCTTGAAGCGGCTCTGGATCTACACTCTGCAAACTTGTCAGACCAAGTACGCTAAGAAAAACGATGTTGCTTTACAAGGATGCTAAATTTCAACAACGCTCGATCTCTGAGATGAAATTATTGAATCTCACCCTTCCGGCATAAAGGAGGGCTTTACAACACGCTGTTTCACACTACCACAATCGCGCTTGCAATGATGCGTCTTTCTCTCAGACCTAGAGAGTAGCAGGCGGCATCGTCATTATACAGCCATCCCTTTTATAATAAAAAAAAGGACCATTTCTCAATTTATGTGTGTAGACCTTGCGCAAGGGGCCATGCTAATCTTCTCCGTATCATTCCAATTTTAACAGATGTCCTGAAGGACATTATATTACCACCCCAAATTGTTCCCTAAGCCTAAAACCGAGCCACTGGATCCAGTCCATAGACTCGTGGGTTCGACCGTATACGGCAATTATACTGGATCCAGTCCATAGACTCGTGGGTTCGATTCATTCAGTCATTTCATTTCTCGGTTGAATTCTTGGACCTTCTTTCTAAACATTGTTACTTTTTTATTCAGTCTTTTAGGTACTTTTTTGTTCGTTCGGGGCTATTATACAATGCTCGCTCTTTTGATTCCATCATAACAATTTGCACACCAGATCGATGACGCCTGACTTCCTTCTTTATGCGGATATTCAAGACCCACTAGCACAATTGCAGACACCAACAGTCGACGTCGAGTTAGCTGCTCACAAATTCACACAAAGAGATACAACACACGTGTCACGTGATAAGCATACACATAGTCACACTAAGAACAGAACCTTTCCAATCCAAACTTCACAATCAGAAACACGAGTCCATGTCGGCCCTCAAGCACATCTATGGAGGAAGCACCCAGGTGCTCAACAGGCACGCACTGCAGCGACCTCGCAACATAAGAACATATAAAATTGAACCGAACTCACAATCATCACTACTGCAGATATCACACTTGCCATGCAAAAAAAGCATAAACAGAATCAGCTATCCTAGTGGACTTTCTTCACTGTCGATTCTAACGGAAAACAACCCACCGACCACCCCCCACACACGACAACTCTTGCATAAGATAATCGCCTATCTTTGTAACCCGAAAAAGTTGTGCGTACATGTACGAATACAACATATGGGGTACGTTTCTTCGGGTTAAGACACTCCAATTTTCTCCAGGAGTCCATGCCAAACTCCTGTGCCAACAACACATGAATGAAGAACCGGTACACCAAATTACAACAAACTATGAACATCGACAACAAGCTCTTTCCAGCATCAGAACTTCGTAATCTGTCCCATTTCATTGTGAATCACAGCGCATTCCTGACAATGCACCCCCCCCCAACCCACCCACCCATCCACCCAAATGTGCAAATCTGTGAACTGCGCCAGCATAGCTCGAAAATCTCAACCACCACAATCAGCAACCCCCTTTCCCAAGGGTGGCAACTATACATGGGAACCAAACAGGGTTGCCGGGGACTTGGAAAGAGGCTTGGGCAGGGCCAGCTTCAGAAACAGCCATTTCCCATCCGCATCCGTTCAGGTAGAACTGCTGAGCTGTTTCATACTTTGCACTCCTCCTGCCACAGCTCAAACCAAGTATGCCAACCGAAGCACTTCACCTCAAATCTAGAGATGGTTCCAAATCCGTTCAGCCATCTCCAAAATAGGCATGTCACCCATGTATAGGCAACGACACAGCAGACAAGGACAATTGTGGAGACTTCAGCACTGAGGACTTTCCGCAGTTGCATGAGGTACCCATATCAAGTAAAGAAATGCGAGATTTTGTTTAGTCGTATTATGAGCCAAGCTTCACATTTCAGGAGCTCCTCCTGTCTCCATAAGGCAGCAAGCAGAGATGATGCATTCTTCCAAACCCGATTGAAAGAGACAGACCGCTGGCATGTTTGTCGTGATTCCACAAAGCAATGACGCGTCGAACACCTGGCGACCATCACATCAACCATCTTCTCCGAATGCAGCTAAAATCACCTCAAATTCCTACCCCTCTCTTATGCAACATCACCACAAGTTCCCTGACACCAATGCTCTCTCTCTCTCTCTCTCTCTCTCTCTCTCTCTCTCTCTCTCTCTCTCTCTCTCTCTCTCTCTCTCTCTCTCTCCACACACACACACACACACACACACACACACACGTGCACATCCTCAATAAGCGGCATTAAAATCATGCAACTGCACCACGGGAGGTCCATTCCAGTGCGTCGCACACATCCCAGATACCTCTAGCTTTCCCCAAAAGCTAAGTTGGAGGATTGACCAAAGACTGTTATCATTCAGGGCACTTTTGAAGAAATCTTGAAACGACAAAAGAAAAAAATTGACAACTTTTCAAATATTTCAACACCCTAGAATGGCCAGATGGCAAATGTGATAGTCATGGAACTGACATAGCAGTTCTAATAAAGCATACCCATAAGAGTCGGGAGACAACATAAAATGACCACAACTTCATCTACATGGTAACCGAGAGAACAAGAACAAAGCAATACTACCACAGTGTGCACAGATCGGCCACAACTACGTCTGCAAAGCGAGCACTATCATCACGATTTCATAAAGCTACAGACACAGAGGAGGAGTGAAGGTTGTGCTCTTAGGGCTCAGGCCAACAGCCTACGACATTGCTTAGACTATCATTATCACCCGTCAGAAGAGAAGACGTAGCTCTATTGTTCCCTCTACGAGATAAGCATATCTAACCAAGGGGGCATACTTCGGCCACTTGAAGAAGCCATCATTACCAGGTATCCCTGACTAACAAACAGAAGACATCGAGGGTTCGTTCCAGCCATCCCATTCCTTCAAACAACAGATGATTTTCAATGAAATCTGAAACTTCTTGGTTCGTCTTGGGTCCCCTTGGAGAGTAAGTGTATGTATTTGACATTAAGCTACTGAGCCGGCCTAGCCAATCCGCTAATCAAAATTCACATGTGTCCGGCCACATCAGCCGCTAACCTTTTATCATCGTTTCCCCCTTTTCCTCCCCTGTGTTCCCCAGCCAAGAGCACTGTCAGGAGCACACAAGCACCTGTGAGGCTGCACATTAGCTGATGATGCACTGAGCTAAAGATCGGCATCACCGGCGTGCAGCAACAGGGAGGCATAGTGATCATCCTGAGGTGACAAAGCATACCAGCAAGCACAGACCAACCAGGCTGAGTGCCCCACAACACAAGGAAGCAGGGAGATCTGTTGTTCCACACCTCTGCCATCAAGGTCCACCAACCTTGGTTGCCCCCGAAACGCATTAGGAATTACAAGTCCAAACACACTTTCACACTTACAGGCGCAACAAGCCACTCGCATAACAATAACTCCAACCCTGGCAAACTGGCTTGCTATATATACGTTACGCATGGCTCATGCTCGGTTCCCACACTCGGCTTCCCCCTCCAACAACACCAGACAGCAAAGCTGTGAAGGACCATGCTACAGTTAGAATTAGCTCGACTGCTAGCAGAGCACTCAGAAACATGCACCATCTGGTTTTGCACACACACACACACACACACACACACACACACACACACACACACATGCACAAACACACACACTCACAAACACAGGTGTAAGTGCAGGCTCATCTTGCTCAGTCCCACAACCGTGTTTTCTCATTTCAAGTACTTTCGGAGTAGACAAAGTGCAGTCTGCATATCCATAACTCCATGCTGGGATTTCTGAAGCCAGAAACCATTGCTGTGCACAAGCATGCTTCTAATAAATACTTGAACCTAGTCATCAGAGCACCAGGGTCTTTTCCTGATTTGTCCCTGGTGGTCTTATGACTTGGTTCATGTGTTTACGTGAGGCAGGCTTATGTACAGCAGTGGTTTCTTGCTTGAGGAACCTGTTCCTGAGGTTACTTTGCAGGTAGTAGAAGATGGGAGAGACCATCTGCACTGCCGGGATCATTTTCTTGTGGAGACGATATCCAGAGGGAAGTGCAGCAAAGCTCCGTGCTCACTCCCAGCAATCCACAAGAGCGAAAACCCCCACAGCAGTAATTCTACGGATAAACCAAGTGCGGCAGAAGGTCATCGTCCTGATCCCCAGTCCCTCAACCATCCTGTGACTATGAAACACCAGGGAGGGAAGAAGCCACCAACCAACCTAAGGAGGTGACTGCTTGACGAGACGTTTCAAAAGAAGTGATTGGCTGCTGCTCTTGTCCTAGTCACCATTGATGCCGAAGATACGAACTTTGTGCATGTGAGGGAACTTGGCAATGACCAGCACAAACACTTCCACTGTGTTCAGAAGCAGCGATGGGCTATTGTAGTGCGTGGTATGCGAAGCAATGAAGTACCTGTCAAAAAAAGGCAACACGTCAACTAGTTTAGCCAACCCTGCAGGAGTATAGTGAACAGATAAACACACTCTGAAAGCAATAAAGCTCGACTCACTTTCCAACACTGATGCATGCTGTTCATCACTCAACAGCCGACACAAGATGGCCACCAAGGAAACAAAAAAAAAAAAAAAAAAAAGAAGAGGGAAAGATAGCATTTCCTGAGACAGACTGTCTTGCCAGATGACTGTTGACTCATGTGGATACTGCACCATCCAGATGAAGCATCAATGATCCATCACAATTGAAAAAGGGAGGCTTGGCAGGCTATCATTTACTCAACGCAATCCAACTGGCCTTAAGCATCAGATCAAAGAAACCTCTGATCATAAGGACTGCCTTAGCGAGCATCACGTCACGCATTCCTTGTTACTGGGCAATTGACTATACCGTGCTTATCCCAGCAGATACTATACTGGGATGATACAAAATTCACACCTGCATTTCCTTTCCACCTTATGCATATGCATCGAAGTCAACATTTCATATGCACAAAGCAACAGCACACAAGCGAACTTAGAAACTTATGTGCAAAAAGGGAATTTATAAACAACATGTCTCTTTTACATCAGTGGCTGTGACCACCAGTATCACCATCCAGCAAGCAGGTACGTCTCTCTCTCTCTCTCTCTCTCTCTCTCTCTCTCTCTCTCTCTCTCTCTCTCTCTTTCTCTCTCTCTCTCTCTCTCTCTCTCTGTGTGTCTGTGTGTGTGTGTGTGTGTGTGTGTGTGTTAGTCCAGATCCCCAAACTCTCTCTTAATCCATCCTCAAACCATCACAAATCATCCATAAACAAAAAAAAAGTGTAGATAAGCAATATAATAGACGGTGCAAGGTTCCCCACATTTGTGTGGTTGAGCGGGAAGTGCCCACACACAGTGTGTGTGGGTGACTATCTACCCTCAGGCCTTGTGCCTCTCTGAATGTATTCGCTCTCTCTATCTCTAATAACTGCTATGGTGCCAGGCGCATACACTACTGCTACACTCAGCTCGATTTCACACATCCGGGGCAAAGCAAACTAACGCAGCAACACTTACCTGAGAGCCGGAATGACCAAAAGGTTCCCAGTGCTGGCTGCGGCTGAACTTTTCTGCTTGCTGCCGGTCCAAAATTAGACTTGTGACAAAGGCGCTTGGCCTCGCCACGGCCAACTTCGATTCGGACCGTCTTACGACTTTCCCTGGACTGAGCTGTGACTTGACCGGGAGCTGACACATCAATGTCATTGAATACAGAGAGTACCATGAGTTCCAGAGTTCAGCGCCAACAAGAGGTAAGTCTCCCTCATCAAACAACAGCATGGAACCTGGCTCTACCAGCGTCCTTCCTCAGATCTCAAGTGTGGCGCAACAGGTACGTATCCACCATATCCAGACTTACTCCCTGTCTTCTCTCTCTCTCTCTCTAGATCTATGTCTTGGTTCTCTCTCTTCACTCTGCATGCACACTCTCACCTACGAAGATCTACTTTGAATGTCACTCACTGATGTCCTACTGACTAACTCTCTATTACTAACATGGGCTGGCGCAGCTATGGCTTCCCTGCAGCCAGCGCCCAGCCTCCCTTCTTCCTGGCGCAGCTCTACTTCAGCCAGCGCCTGTCCAACCAGCTAGCGCACAAGTGCC